GCTGAGAGTGGTGTCTGATTTTAATCTTGCACAGACCACATCCACTGCCTTATCAACGGGAACGCACGTATCTGTATAATATTAGACTTCCTAGAAATAAAAAGTGAGCTATGTAGACATAACAACTGGGCCTTGATTATGCAAACTTACAGATAAAACACAAGATAAAGATTTAAACTCATTCACTGCAAAATCACCAAACGAGCAATAATAAGGGACAAAGTAGGAACAATTATGCTGCTGAATTGAARCCTGTCTGTACTTCTCATCTGAACCCTCTTCTTATTAAGCTYTGGCTTCAAATGCTCCATATCTGCACCTCCACAATTTGAGCAGAGATGAAATGAACGAAGATCAGAAAAATCATCTGGAATCATTCAAATGTTTTACAGACTGTTACACTAATACCTGTGTGTGGTAATTTTAGTCAATGATTAAAACAAAGGTCATCTGCCAACAAAACTGTAGGAYTTTTAGGTAAAAATTTGTTTATCTTTTGCAACATATRAACGTCTCTGTTTTTGTTCAATATTTGAACACTAATGCAACAAAAAGCTTTATGATTACACCTAGTTGGTACTATTTGTTGTAGTCAGTCGGACTTTTTACTGTGTGTTGTGCAGCTTTAAAACGTGCAGATAGAGAGAGATACAACAACACTCCCAAACAAAGCTGAAGATCAAGAGCAAAGTGGTTCCTGTTACAAGGTACATATTTTGCATATAAATTGTTTGCATTTATGTTTCAAATATAACATGGTTAACTTTTTGTTTGTCTTTTCTTTTGTCTTTGCTCATTTRACCTGATTCTGCCCTGCAGAAACCTCTGAAAACCTTCTTCAGCCCCCAGATTTAATGCAGAACCACACAGAATAAATTAGGGACAAAACCGATTTTTTTGCTATCTTTTGTAGTTCCRCTGCAGCTGACAGTAATTCTTATCCTGTGCCAATAAGCTGCAGGTTTACATAAGCAAACACTGTCTTGCTTGAATGACTTTGATGTGCAAGATTTAACTGGAAATGATTCTGAGTAGTTTGGAAGGAGCCTAATTTTTAGGTAAAAATAATAATAGTAAAAAATACAACACAATCACACAACTAATCAATTGTGAACATGCYGTGAAGAGCCACAGTAAACATGATAAATTTCACAAATGGGGTTTTGATCTAATATTGCTGAAATCAAACYAATATTTTAAGGATACAATGCAGAWATCAAACCAACAKAAAGTACTYCAGTTCTTTGTCTYACAAGAATTASTCAGTGCTTTCAAACATATTAAAGAAAATAATGTTTCAAATTTCAAATTAGCATCTGAATGGCATCACACTAGCTTTTAAAATCATTGTAGTTATTAAAGGGATCCCTGATTAGTTATAACATTAGACTTTATTTGATAAA